TCCTGGTGTGACTCGTTCGGGCTCCTCGTGGTGTGAGTCGTTCGGGGCCCGCGTCGTGGTGTGAGTCGTTCGGGCTCCTCGTGGTGTGAGTCGTTCGGGCGCCTCGTCCTGGTGTGAGTCGTTCGGGCCCCTCCTTGTGGTGTGAGTCGTTCGGGCTCTTCGTGGTGTGAGTCGTTCGGGCCCCTCGTCCTGGTGTGAGTCGTTCGGGCTCCTCGTGGGGCCTCTTGGGGGCCTCTTGGAGCCTCGTGGGGCCCCTTGGGGGCCTCTGGGGGGCCTCTTGGGGGCCTCTTGGGGCCTCTTGGGGCCTCTTGGGGGCCTCTTGGGGGCCTCTTGGGGGCCTCTTGGGGGCTCTTGGGGGCCTCTTGGGGGCGTCTTGGAGGCCTCTTGGGAGCCTCCTGGGGGCCTCTTGGGGTCATCTTGGGGCCTCTTGCGACCTCCTCAGAAGCGCAAATGAGGGCTGCCCCCTGAGAAGGACAAAATGAGCCCAACACTTTCGTAAAATCAATGATTTTGCTATGAAGGAAGATGAGCGCGGCCCCCTCAGGACGTCAAAATGGGGCCAAAACCGTAGTAAAATCAATGATCTTGGCTTCAAAGAAGAGCAGAGGGGCCAAACTGTATCCCCCCGACGGGGCCAGAATCCTCGTGAGGGTCGTCGTTTTTTGGCCCTCCCAGGAGTCAAAAAACGACCCCCCTGACTACGTGCGCCCCCGGACTCCCTGTCCAGGTCCACGGGGGGGGGTAGGGGGGGGGGTAAACCCCTCCCCGAAGGGGAAGAAGGGGGGTTGAGGACAGAGCGGGCTCTCTAAACCACTCACGCCCAAAGGGCTGGTGGGATTATTGGAGCTACTGCCCTTTTTGCCCGCCAGAGCCCCCGATGCCGGGAAGGCAGCGGAGACCGCTAAGACTGCCAGACCTGTTGCTGCTGTCGCCTGCCCTCGTTCTCCCTCTCTCGGTCCCTCCATCTGTTTGCGTGCGTGTTGTTGGAGATCTCTCGCGCCATGGCTCATGGGGAGATTCGATTGCGGCCGATGTGTCGCTTCAGGGATATCTTCAGTCAGCATTCCCGTCGTGGCAGGGCCGGCCGGGCGACAGCCCCGCGCATGCGCTGCAACCCGGCGCATCTATCTGCACGGCTGACGCCAATCATCTTCCGCGCCCATCTGCAGAGATTGATTCCGAGGATCCCTTGAGTGCACAGGGCCCACGCCTGGCCCAGGAAGCTCCGCTTCCGCGGCCGCCCCCCGCCCAGGACCAGAGCATTGGCGTGCCCCAGGCGGACTTCGATGCTCTCCTCCAGGAGGGCGAGAGGGCTGCGAGAGAGACGGCTCTCGTGGAGCAGGCCAATCAGATCATGGCCGAGCATCCTGGCGCTGCCTCAGCGCGCCGATCTGGCGGAGACGTCGCGATAGGCGATCTCTCTGATCGGGTGACCGATCAGGAGTGTGAATCTCTCTCCGCCGATCTGGCCGCCGATAGCGAGCGCGCGATTCCTGACCAGACCCTTCGTGATCTTGGTAGTGAGTTGAGCGCTTGTGGGAACACCCGCGAGAGGATCGCCGCCGCGCCGCGATGGGCCTGCCGTGGGCGCCGCCGCCTCCACGGGCGCGGCGTCGCCCGGCGGCCCTGCTCCAGGCGACGCAGACTGGAGTGACGGGGCTGCAACGGCTGCCGCGCCGATCGCGGCGGTGGCGCGGATGCCGATTGCGCCGCCGCCCCCGCCGCGAGGCTCGCAGCGCGTGACCGGCGAGCGTGCTCGGGGCGGCTTTTGCAGGGCGCTCCCAGAAGCGCGGCGGCGCTGCAACCTCGAGAGCTACCGCGACAACACATGCCGCTACTGGTCGTTCTATCTGAACGGCTGGATCTAGATCGGTGAGAATGATTGTGAACATATGTGGGTTGATAATATTGCTGTTCGTACTATTGGACAAGTTGACAATCGCATTAATCGTTATTGGGATCCCGCATACTGTGACCCGAACATGTTCCGTTCGTTGTGTTGACGGATACAGCGCTTACGTTGACATTCGAATGATTACTTCCTGGATTTATCATTTTTTCCCCACAAACAGGCGTTATGGTTTCGTACATCGTATTTTGTGGCGTCATGGGCATGAATGCACCCAGGCAGGTCGCCCGCCGCGAAGATCTTTCATAGTCTGATCATGTCATGGAGCGTGGCGACCATGGAGTCTTGACGCCCTAGTTGCCGCCGTGCGCCCTCGAATGTGCTGCGGACCCACTAATCGTTTTTTTTTTTTTTTTTTTTTGGGTGTTTTGCGCAAGCGGTGCTTTCAGGATTTCATAGGTTTGGGTTGAAATCTTGAAACCCCATTTTGCAAGTTTCGTTGTGTATTTCACGACACTTTTGTGCGTGCTCGGCAACCGCCGCGCAGTCAGGCCGTCAAGATTCTTCGTGTGCCGGTATCAGTGATATGATCCTCGTCGAACGATGCTGGATACATTTCGCAAGTATTTCGCGGCCTGGTGTGCCCGCCTGCTTGAACGTTTCACGCTATCATCATTTTTGATCAGGTGTCCACACAATTTTGATCACGTGCGTAATCTTGATTGTATTCTTTGGGTTGCTTCGCACCCACGTACCTCGATATCATATTCTAGGACCTGGAATGCCACGCGAATGAAATTGTTCAGTGCCTTTTTTTATCAGTTGTCGTCGCAACTTTGCTCATGAATACACCTCAGAATTTAGACTTTGGGCCGCTACGCACCCACGTATCTTGATGCATACATTTGAATTGAATATGCGCCTGGCGCGCACATCTACGCACATGACTTCGTGAACCTGTGGAAACACCTGCGTCATTGTACTTCGGCAGTGTACTTGACGTCGGATTTTCCTTTCATCTCTCTCTTGCTCTCACCACCCCGTAGCCTGTGGTGACGGGGGGTCGTCGGGGTGTGCCGAAGTTTTTGTTGGGTGGGGCGCGCCCTCGGCCCGGTAAGACGGGTATACTTCCCTAAACACCCCCGTGCTGTGTGGTTGGTCCTTGTTTTACTCTCCCAGCCGATGGGGGGGAGGCCCGTTTCGGGGTCGCAGGGGATGGAACGGTGTTTCGAATGGTTTCGCACCTTTGTTCCCGAATCCCGCTTCCGTTTCCCGTGGGCCCGACGCCCGCATGGAGCGGGCGGGATTCGGGACGGTGTGCGTGTGCGTGTGTGTGTGTGTGTGTGTGTTTTTTTGTGTGTGTGTGTGGTGTGTGTGTGTGTGTGTATTTGTCAGTGCGTGTGTGTGTGTGTGCGTGTGTGTGTGTGTGTGTGTGTGTGTGTGTTTTGAACACCGTTTGTAAAACTTATATACATATACATATATATATATATATATATATATATATATATATGTATATATTGCTATGTTCTCGGCTCAGGTATTTGACATTTGGACTGTCCTGCAGGATAGGACTCGCGCCGCTCGCCCAGGGCGCGTGGGAAAAATGTTTTTTCTTTCTCTCTTCCCAATCGTGCTCTACCTACGGACAATAGGGCAGGTTCGACTCTTTGGTTGTCGACCTCCGTGCGCAACATCCACCCCCCCAGCGGAGCTTAAGCTCAGATTTTTGAAACTCGAATGCCGGGTCGGTGGAGTTTTTAACAGCAGGGTGTCCCTGGGCGAGCCGCCTTCTCATTTTTTCCTCCAAATCCTTTTTCCTTGTCCTCCCCCGGCCGCGTCGCGAGTCATATTCCTGTATCGTCCTTTTTTCCTTTTCTTCAGGGACAGAAGCCCGTGTGACATACATTTTGTTTTTTTTGGGGGGGCCTGGCGCTGTCTTCGAACGATCGGCCGACTTGGTTTTGCGGCGAATGCCGGCCGTCGCAATGTCTGCCGAGCTCGCCTTCGATCCGCGCGCATCGTTGGTGCCGCCAGGCGGCGCTGGCCCGAAGCTTCACTTGCCCTCTGGGGGGATAGGATTTGCGCGAGAGCGCCCGCCCCGCCCTGTTGGCGCTTCGCGAGGGCCCGCTCAGGCGGGGCCGAGTTGGCCGACCGACCTCCTGAACAGGTTTTTGCGCAGGTTGTGTGTGATTGTTGCGTTGTCCGATGTGGTGCAAGCATGTTCTGTCCCTCGCGTGGTCTTGGGTGATTCTTCGACCCCTGTGGTATTTCAGGATAACAAACTTAATTGAGGCCCCTCGTGGTCGTCGACGGGACGCCCGCGCCCTTGGCGGGCGCCGCGAATGCCCAGGGCCCAGCATTCGGGAGGTGGCGAACGACTTCGAGTCGGCGTCCGTCCTTGCAACACGTTTCCCCTGGCCCTTGCTTCGCTATGGAACGTGTGGTATTCACCTGCCATGGTGGGGTGACCTCCCATTGGCACTGGAGGGCCCTGAGGCGGGGCACCGCGCTATGCACACAAATGAGAGGGCTAATTTTGGTACGGTTTGTTCGTTGCTTATTCCCATCCGCTCTTCTCTCACGCATTCCTCGTGTCCTCCCTTTGAAGCGGCCATTAGAATATACCAGGAGGACCCTGCGATCATGAGCACCAGTTCGTACCTACAGGCATTTGTGGCTGTTTGCTGATTCCCGGAATCTCCAACTTTTCGGCGGAAAGAGCCCCATGGAGTCCCTGAGTGAAGCCATAGTGCGCTTACACACTCCCAGGATGACGCGGAGACGCTATGGCCCCCCTGCGGCCACGGCACGGCCTTGGCGCCCAATCTAGCTAGAATTTGATCGCGCGCGCGGAGCGCGCGCGATGCTTCTAGTAGGTATGTTTCTTTAGATGGTCTGGCGTGTAGATAAGATTGCCAAGGTTCTATCTGTGTGAGCTATGGGATGATCTATTGGAAATCCGTTGACATGTTCACTTAATGGAAGCGCGTTTCACGTGTTCCCATATAAAGAACCATGTGCTCACATTTCGATGTGGAGCGTTTCGAACATCGCCTCTCTGGCACTGCATCCGTGATGACTCGTCTTGATGTTCTTGCATTTCGCTCTGCTCCATGTTGTACTATTGGGCATTTGAACAGACCCCGAGGACACGTCGTCATCGTCTCCAGCGCAGCAGAAGGCTGCCAATCATTTCTCTTTGAGTACTACGCTACGACAGCGTACATCAAAGCAGGTTGTAACGGCGAGTGCTCACATTGCATGGCTTCACGTGTGCGCTTTGTGAAGTGCCTGTTTCTGGACAGGGTCATGCGTCTGTAAGAGAGCCCAGAGCCTCTCACATTCAGATGTGGCTCATTTTGGAATTCCGCGCGGGATATATTCAGTGCTTTTGTTAAGGTCCAGCTGCCTGCAGCAATTCCAGCTATTGTGCCAGTGCAGCGCTCCGTGCGGCGACGCTGACACATTTCGATTATATTCCTTGAAGGGCTTAATGGGGGGCTGTCTGGACTGTCTCGGGTCGAGGGGCCGTCTTGAGCTTCCGTGGGGCCCTCTTGGGGCCCTGTCGGTGCCGTCTTGGACCGTCTTGGTGCTGTCTTGCGCTCCTGGGCCTTTTTTGATTGTCTCGGGGGTATCTTGGGGCTGTCTTGGGGCCCTCTCGGGGCCCTCCTGGCCTGGGGATCTCTTGGGCCGTCTTGGGCACTCTACGTGCTGTCCCGGGGCCTCATTGTTCCCAACCTTCCTGCGTCGGGTATTCGTTTTGAATTTAGCACAGTGGTCTCCATTCTTCTCCTCCCGCCTCCCTCCTTCTCTTGTCACATGTCTCTACCTGCCAGCTTGCCTCCTACCATCTCCTCGCTCCTTGTTTGCCATCTGCCTCTAACCTTGCGTGGCTGCGAAGTGCGGGGCTGTTGCCACTTTCGTGGGCTGTTGGGGTGCAGCGGCGTGACGTGCTACGCAGATTCAGATTAGACCTCGCCATCCGTGGGGGGTTGCGAGCTGCGAAACTGTTGCCACTTTTGAAGGCTGCTGGCCCCACTCGCGTCTCTCTCCTGCTCTTCGCTCCCACCCCCATGTCTTTTTCGAGCCTGGGCCCTCACTTCTCGTCTTTCTATCTTTGTCCTGCGAGTCGTGCCACGTGCGCGTATCCCACGTAGCATGCTCACCACATGACGGCGCCTGCACTGTCATTGTCCATGCAAGTTTGGGCCAACTCCCCTTGTCCCTTGATGCAAATTGGTTGGGTACGTCACAGGGTATTTTTCCCTAGCCCTCCCGTCTTGGGTTTCGAGAGCTTTGCTGTCGCAGCCTCCCCCCGCCTCTCTTCTCCTCTCCCCCCTCTTACCTGCCTGCTACCCTGCCTCCTACCTCGCCGTCTTACCTCGTTGTCCTGTCTGGGGGTTCGCTGGGAGGCTGCGAAGTGGGAAGCTGTCGCCATGTTCGAGGGCTGCTGGGGGGTGCAGCGGAGTGATGTACTACGCATATTCAGATTAGACCTCGCCATCTTTTGGGGGGCTGCGAACTGCGGAACTGCCGCCACTTTCGTGGGCGAGGCCCAGCGGAGTGGGGTGGTACGCAGACCCAGCCGAGACCTCGCGACTGCCAGCGGGGGCTGCGAAGTGCGGAGCTGTCGCCACTCTCGTGGGCTTCTGAGAGGCCCAGCGGAGTGGTGTGGCACGAAGATCCAGCCGAGACCTCGCGGCTCACTGGGGGGCTGCGAAGTGCGGAGCTGTCGCCACTTTCGAGAGCTGCTGGGAGGTTCGGCGGAGTGACGTGCTACGCAGATTCAGATTTGACCTCGCCATCCCCAGGGGGCCGCGACGTGCGCAATTGTCGCCACTTTCGAGAGCTGTTGGGGGGTCCTGCGGAGTGACGTGCTGCACGTATTCATTTTCGACCTCGTTATCCCTGGGGGGCTGCGATCTGCAAAACTGCCGTCACTTTCGAGGGTTGCTGGTGGGTCCAGCGGAGTGACGTGCTACGTATATTCATAGTCGACCTCGCCGTCCATGGGGAGCTGCGAGCTGCGACACTGTCGCCACTTTCGAGTGCTGCTGGGAGGTTCGGCGGAGTGACGTGCTACGCAGATTCAGATTTGACCTCGCCATCCCTGGGGCGCTGCGAACAGAGAGCCCGTTGCCACTTTCGAGGGCTGCGGGGGGCGGGGGCCAGCGGAGTGAAGTGCTACGCAGATCCAGGTTCGACCTCGCCATCCCTGGGGGGCTGCGAGCTGCAAAACTGTTGCCACTTTCGAGAGCTGCTGGGGAGGGGAGTTCCAGCAGAGTGACGCGCTACGCAGATTCAGATTCGTCCTCGCCATCCCTGGGGGGTGGGGGCTGCGAACTGCGGATCTGGCGCCACTTTCGAGGGCTGCCTGGGGGGGGGGTCCAGCCTAGCGACGTCCTACGCGGATCCAGATTCGTTTGAGTTCCCTTCCCGCTGGCCGCCCGAAGACCTGGCGGCGGGCCTGGGGGGCGTCTAGCTCCCGCACTACAAGGTGGAGCAAGGACGCGGAGAATCTGGCGGGCGAGCTCGGCTTCTTGCACTAGCTATGACCAGCTAATCCTTTGGATCCTTTGGAACGCCAGGGCGACATGGCGCGGCCCGCGCTGCTTGTCCAGCGTGCCACCGGGAAATCCTCATCCTGCCGCTTTCGTTGTCGTCCTCTTCCTCCTTCTACCGTCTCGCGATTGCTGTCGCGTGAGCTTTTCGGCCCGTTTTCCGTCCTCTTCATTTCCACCCCCGTGTCCTCTTCGGGCCTGGAACTTCAGTCCTCGTCCTTCTGTTGTTGTCCTTTAGACGTGCAGCGCGAGCGCTTCGCATATAGTTTGCGCAACAAATAATATATCTTGTGTTGTCATTAGCCATACTATTCTGGACCAGCTCATTTTGTCACTTGGTGCAGATGGGTTGGGTGCGCCGAAGGTTTCTTGTATTCCCCCAATTCTCCTGTGCTGGTTCTCGTTTTGAATAGAGCGCTGTTGTCTCCATCCTTGCTTTTCCTTCCTCCCTCTCCTCCTCGCGGTTCCTTTGGGGGCTGCGAACTGCGCAAGTGTCGCTACTTTCGGTGGGTATTGATTGGGAGGCCCACCGGGACTGGGTGGTACGCAGATCCAGCCGAGACTTCGCGGCTCTTTGGGGGGTTGTGACGTGCGGAACCGTCGCCATTTACGTGGGTTCAGGGGGGCCCAGCGGAGTGGGGTGGTACGCATATCCAACCGAGTCCTCGCAGCTCTCTGGGGGGTAGCGGAGTGCGCAACCGTCGCCATTTACGTGGGTTCAGGGGGGCTCAGCGGAGTGGGGTGGTGAGCGGATCCAGCCGAGGTTTCGTGGCTCCCTGGGGGGTTGCGAAGTGCGCAAGTGTCACCACTTTCGTGGGCTCCTGGGAAGGCCAGCGGTGTGGGGTGGTACGCAGATCCGTCCGAGACCTCGCAGCTCCTTCGGGGGCTGCGCAGTGCGCGGCGGTCGCCATTTTCGTTGGCTCCTCGGAAGGCCAGCGGAGTGGGGTGGTACGCAGATCCAGCCGAGACCTCGCGGCTCCCTGTGGGGCTGCGGCAGGCGCAACTGTCGCCGGTTTCGTGGGGTGGCACTCAGATCCAGCCAAGACCTCGCGGCTTCTTGGGGGGTTGCGAAGTGCGGAGCTGTCGCCACTTTCGTGGGCTCTTCGGAAGGCCCAGCGGAGCGGGGAGGTACGCGGATACAGCCGAAACCTCGCGGCTCCCTGGGGGTCTCCTGGGATGCCCAGTGGAGTGGGGTGGTACGCAGGTCCAGCCGAGTCCTCGCGGCTCCCTGGGGGGCTGCGAAATGCGGAGCTATCGCCTTTTTCGTGGACCCCTGGGAGGGCCACCGGAGTGGAGGAGTACGCAGACCCAGCCGAGACCTCGCGGCTCCCTGGGGGCTGCGAAGTGCGGGTGCTTCATCATTTTCGTTGAGCGGTCCTTAGTTTAGCCGCCATAGGTTTCGACAGTTTTATGGTTTCTCCTTTTTCCTTCGGGCTTCCATAGGTTCGAGCATGATTTTTGCCTTCCTGGGTGGCCTCTCAGCCTCCGGTGTGATGTCCTCAGAGGCCTTTTGGGGTCCCTTTGGAGGCAATGTTTGACCCTCTTGGCGGCCTCGGTGGGCTTCCCGGGCCGTCTCGGAAGCCGTGGAGAGCTTTCGAGGGCCTCAGGGAGGCGGCAGGGCGGCCCAGGGAGCCTCGAGAGGGGTGGGCGGTGCATGCAAGACTGCATGACCGGGTGGGTGGGGGGGGGCTCTCAGAGTAGGGACACAAACTATGACACACACACAAAAAACTCGGAGGTCCACGCGGATTCCTCGGATAGGCGCTGGGGCCCTCTGGCGGCGCCTCTGGCACCGCCCCTGAAGCGCAACGCGGGCCAATGGGGGGTCCAGCGTCGATCCGAGAAATCCGTGCGGACCTCCGAGTCTTCATGTTTACGTCATGGTGTGTTTCGCGGTAGAAGACTCCCAGAACCCTACCAGACAGCGGTTGGCATTCTTTCGCGCCTCAGCGTGCCAAGGGGTATGGAGGCGGATTCTCACCCGCCCTTAGAAGCTTTGTGCAACCGCCCTCGTGCGTCAGATGTGCGCCGGCCGTGTACGCAGATTGTTTGCCACCATAGATGGTTGTTGCGGGTCGCCTCTAGTCTCACTTGCACAATGAACATGTCTGCGACATCGTTTGGGAGTTGCTGTGGGACTGAGGCCGACGCGGGCAACTAAATGATTTAGCACACGACCTGCCCTGCCACGTAAACTGTAGAGCATAAGTAGTTTTGTATTCGGGACACCTTTCGAAACCACATCGAAATAGCTCCCCCAGATGCCTTCAGGACTCGCCGTGATTCCTGAGCGTTCCTGGCCAGAGTCAGTTGTGTGGACGAGAATGCGCAAGGATGACCAAGCATATATTCGAGTACGGAGCCGAGCAAGTCTTCGCACGAAACAAGCACAGCAGGAATCTCAAGCACGGGTGCGGCGGGCTTCTTGGTGCCGTGGCGCAGGCGGAGCCCAGCATAGACGACCTCGCCAGGTTCATCGACGGAGCTGGCAGCGCGAAGCCCACCAAGGCGAGGGGTTGATGGGAGGGAGGAAGGGGGCAGGGGATGCGGGTGAGGTGAGAATGATGATGAGGAGGAGACGGCGGAGGCGGAGGACGGTGAGGAGCAGGAGTAGCGAAGAGAGGACGAAGGGGGAGATGACGAGTTAGCCCAGTTCTCGAGGCACCTTCGGTTTTTTTTTGTAAATGGAATTTGGTTCACCTTCCACGACACAGACAGATCGAATAAGGAGGCTGAGGAGGAAGAGAGGAGCAGGAGCGGCAGACGGAGGAGGAGGAGGAGGAGGAGGATGAGGAGGAGGGCGAAGATGAGGAGCAGGAGCAGGGAGGAGGACGAGTGGCAGGAGGAGGAGGAGGAGAAGGAGTAGGAGGAGGAGCCTGTGCTCGCCAGGCGAAGCGCGCCAAGAAGAAGCCCAGCCGCGGCAAGGACCGCTTCCCGCCCTTCTTCCTGGCGGGGAGGGCGGGGAGGAGTGAGGAGGGGGACGAGGGAGAGAAGGGCGGAGTTGGTTGGTGGAGGACCCAACGAAAAGCCCAGGCAGGAAGCCTGTTCTAGAGGGGCCCGGGGCGCATCAGCAGCCTCCCAGGGCATGCGTAGGCAACCGCAGCCGGGATCGCGCGGGGGGGGGGCGGGAGGGTCCAGGCGGGAGCCCGCAGAGCTCGACACCCGGGGGCCCTGCCCAGGCCTGGCTTGCTGCGTGGCGATGCACGACGCAGGTGCTAGCCTGTGCGAGGAACCAGGATCAGGGCCCCACGGGGGCGACGACGACGGCGACGAGGAACAGGGGAAACAAGAGGGTACTGATACCGCTACTCCCTGGACCTCTCCCGAGGCGTTTTGAGGCCAGAGTCTCGATCATAATCCGGCCGTGGCGGCGAAGACTCTCAGCACGAGCTGCGGAGTCGGTGTCCCCCCTCCTCTGAGGATTGGGGCCCCCGAAAGGCGCAGCAAGGAGGGAAGAAGGAAGGAAGGCGGCAGGCGGGGAACGCTTTTGGCCGCTCTGCGCCCAGAACCGGTCCACTTGGCCCTCCACCTCCGTAGCCGGCCTGGCCCAAGCCGCAGCCCAGCAGGGCTACCACGCACTCCCGTGCCGCGGCGGCGGGCGGAACGCTCCGGGCCTGCCAAAACGCCGCCCGCCCAGGAGCTGTGGCTGGGCAGCCTGACAGGATGTGGAAGGTAAAGCTGGACTCTGGACTGCAATGCGCCGCAGAGGACGCATGACCGCCTCCGGGCCCTGTGCGTGTCCCAGCGACAGGAACCCGCCACGCAACCGTGCCAGGGAGCGCTGCGCCACCAGCATGTCCCACCCGAGGCTGCTGCCCAGGGCACCGCGGACATCCTGGGACATCGCCGGTCGCAGCTCGGTGTGCGGCAACGGGAGTACGTGCCGAGCGGCAGCGGCCGTCCATTCAGCAAGGCACCTGGCATCGACCCAGGCACGCACATCCTCCTTGTAGGCTGCCAGCGCGCCTCCCTCGTGGGATAGCATCCACACGGGACAGTCCGGCAGGTCCCACCCGGTGACGAGCCCCAAGGAAGCCTTGGCCCACGTCCGGCTGGCGCCCCCGTGCGCTAGGAGGAGTACCTCCCTGTAGGGGTTCGTGCCTGGGAGGGCCCACAGGGATACACGCCGGGTGGCCACTTCTAGTGCAGCAGTGCCCGACCCAGACCTTACCCAGCCCAGTTCGCCCGCGGCCACGTGGTGCCCGCGCCATGGCGGGAGGCTCAGGAGGAGCTGCGTCCATCGCTCGCGGGACGCATCGTGCGCAGCGCCGCTGGTCTCGTGCATCACCCAGAGCCACTGCCCACAGCGGAGGCCCCCCTCTGTCTGGGAGTCGTCGCGCCTGGTGACATGGAGGGATGGATGGAGGAATGAGGAGGGAGGAAGAGGGGCGGAGGATGAGGATGATGATGATGATGAGGAGGAGGAGCATTGTAAACCCAAGAGTCATCAGCGATGTTGGAATAAACCCTCCAAGCTCCTTCTTCATAGGCCCCAACAACGGTTCATGTCCACTGAGGGAACTGCCTCGTTGGAAGACAACCGTTTGAAGACCCTGAAGCATGCCAAAGCACTGTTCTCCGGATTCCAACGCCACGGGTCAACATGACTGTTGCGTTCTGACGATCCAGGATCGTGTCAGAACGCCATTCCTGGGACCTCAACACCGCGAAGCAACGTAACTGCTGCGCCCTCATAATCCAGAATCCTTTCAAAACACCATTTCTGGCACACTGATAATGGAAATCCGTGAAACTCTTGCAATTGATACAGCGAATGTGCGCGGCGCTAAGGTGAGAGCCACATTTTGAAAACGACCCGCCCTCCATCCGTGAAGCTCTTGCACATTTTGATAACGAATGTGCTCGGCGCGAATGCGAGAGCCACATTTTGAAAACGACCCGCCTTGCATTCGTGAAACTCTTGCACGTTTTTAAAGCAAATGTGCGTGGCGCTAAGGCGAGAGCCACATGTTGAAAACCACCCGCCTTCAATCCGTGAAACTTTTGCAAATTTTCAACAACGAATGCGACTGGCGCTAAGACGAGAGCCACG